TAGTCTCATAAACGCCAATGAGCAACGTTTTAAAAAAACTTTTGTGCAGCATTTCTCTATTTGAAATTTGATTAATTAATTTGGAAAAGATATCTTTAATTATATCTATTCGGTTAAAACTTGATTGTATGATGATTAAAAATTATGAAGATTCAATTATCAAATATTGTTACTCTTATTTTATTATTAGTTTATAGAATATGCTTTCTCTTACCGCTTAATTTTTTATTACGATTATCTTTCGATATTTCAAGAATTTTTTCAGATTTATTTAAACGCGACACTTGTGCTGCAATGGCGATGCCATAAGAAGCGTGAGTCACATCCGCGATTACCGTGCGATGCACGTTTGACACGATTTGTACCGCCACTCGGTTGACGAAAGGAGGAAAGTCCCGCGGATCAGTACCGAGAATTCCCCCATGAAGTTGATCCGAAGTAAAGAAAGCAAACCGGATGTACACATGAACCGGACACGCGTACGAACAAAAAGGCGTTGGCGAATGCATGCGTATAAGAGTGTCCTATTATGGAAACAAAAACTATAAGAACTGTATTAACCTTTTAAACATGCACAACGACTGAGTCTTCTTTAATAAAATATGTGTATATACAAAACATGTGTATTATTGAGAGCAATCGATGAAGCAAGATTATAGATGCGAACTAATTCACCCCACAAAAGTCTAATAAAAAAAATTTAGAATTTTTTTCAATATTTTAAATCTAATTTTTTTCTTTTTTTTTTTCAAACTAAATTTTATTTAAGTATCTATCTGTGAAATTAAGTTAAGCACAATACTTTGCTGTCGATATATACACATAGATAATTTATGAATATCTCGAGATCATCTACAGATAATAAAGTTGTACACTGAGAAAAATGGTCTGGTTGGATTAAACAATATAATTCTGGTGAAAGATGGACGAATCAGAATTTTCTGATTAAATCTACTAAAATTCTAGTTGAGATAGCTAGAATTCTGATTGATATAATTATTCTGATAAAAATAAGAATTCTAATAGATTTTACCAGAAATATTATATCCAGAATTCCAGTTATTTCAATTAGAATTCTAATAAATTTAATCAGAAAATTCTGACTAGTCCATTTTCAACTAGAAAATTTTTTCAGTGTACAGTTTAGACTATTATACCTCTATTTCATGTAAAACTCTATTTTACGGATGATATTCAAAGAATCTGCAGATGAAAAAAGAAGTACGGATATTGTAATATTTTTATTGATCTCAAGAACGCACTTTACTTGGCGCCAGCCATAACTTCCAGACAATTATTCGTTACGTAAGCGCAATAACTTAAGAAACGCATTAACAGGTTAGCAGTATAGCCTCGATATGATAAGAATCAATCATTTCGCGAAGTTTTTACGAGGATACGTAGGTGTTACTTCTGAGTATATCCGTCCCGATATCGTGAAATCAATTCAAAAGAGGGAATAAGAGAGAAAGAAAATGAGATTGAGATTAATCATTTTATCGTTTCCACGAACTCGCCTTTGATTGAGAAGTGACATCCTGCAACGCCAATGAAATTAGTGCACGTAGGCGGAATGTGACAGCATCGAGAAATATTTGCATCTCGCGAATGGTACTTAAAAAAAAAATGTCCACCGTGCACTATGAGAATTGAAATCTTGAGATTTCAGATAAGAAAAGGTATTCCGATAGTACAATATTATTGTGATTATTTGAAAAAGAAATTTGTTTCCATTTTATTCTTCAGAAACAATTTCTAAATTTAAGATATAAAACTTCCTAAAGTATAAAAAGGTATAAAGGAGGTTTTTTTTAGTTTTCCGTTTTTCAGTAAAATGCGCAATTTATTTTGATATTCAATGTTATAATATAATATGTTTATTTTTTATAATATTTATAATAATTGTCTTAAAATAATTAATGAAACGTTTTTTTAAATATTTATTTCATGCTTTAATAATTCTTATTTCTTTCGCATTCTACTTTATCATGCAAATTCTGCCTTAATTTACTTAATTCGGTCAATTTAAATATTTTAATGAAATTTCTAAGAATAAAACTTGTCATACACTTCCTCTGCTTTCACACTGCTTAAATATAAACACTTATGTATCGGCGAAATAACGTTAAAGCTTGATAAAAAGCACGGGAAAGCAAGAAAACGCGAGATAAGCGTCACTTTCATCTAGTCTTACGCGTTGGTTTGTCGGGCGAAATCATCCGACATCAGACTTTCCCGTCGGTCTTAACTGACTGATGCAAATGTGCCGTCATTAGGCCTTGTTGGGCTCATTTTGCTACTATTTGTCTTTATAGCTCTCCACGGCATCGTCGTCGTTCCTTTTAATGAAGAAACGAGTTCTTTTCGCCACTGTCGGTCGATCACGGTCGCGAAACAACGCGGCACTCAGTACGATCGTAAACGTTCCTACGAGACATGACCGTTAGCCTGATGAACGCGTTTAGACCCCCTTATCCTCTCGGCTTGATATATTATTATGCTGAAATGGAATTGACGAATGAGTCGCTCGAGGACTCGTATACTCGTAAATTTCAAACTTCGTTGTGAGTTTACGATGCAAATTTCATATTAATTTCTTTTATTGAATTTTATTTAGATAAAATTTAACCAACATGCGTTCCAGAAACGATAAATTTTATAAAATTGGAGTTGTTTCTTAATTTGAAATTTTTATTTTTGAAAAATATCGATACTCTTAAACATAATTTTTTTTTTATAAACGTAATTTTTCAAATTTAAAATATTCTGCAGCTTCAACTTATTGTGCGATTATTCGCGATCGTATTACAGTTGTATGTACAGAATTTTCCAGGCGAACTTGCGTAATTTATGCGAGAATGAACTTGATTGACCTCAGAATCGATTTTTTTACAATACGACAAATTCCAGTCACCGTTCCAATTCGTCAGCAAATCTTCGTGTTAATAGTCGACAAACTTTTGAACAATTGAAATATGCTGTCCTGCGGTGACCCATGTTTTGTTATTAGACGTTGCAAAAAAATGTAAAGATCGATGGTGCAATATTTGGCGACACGTGCGGCACGTCCTCATTCACGTCGTTTAAACTTCCATATGCTTTACCTCGATTTATATGAAATAAATTGAACCGAAAAAAACTATAAAATGAAAAAAATTAATCACGCCAATCTTGCATGTTATGACGATTGGCTTTGCAATAATAAGCACAAAAATTTAGACTTGGTTTGAAAAAGATTTTATTAAACAAGATATTATTAATACATTTATGATTCTCAAAATATATTCATGTCTTCTCAAATCAAGACTCTTTTAAATTTTAATACAAGTCAAACTTGATTTGAGGAAAAAAGAATATATTGAATTTTAAGAAACTAGATTTTTAAATTAATTTAACTCTGGAGAAAATCTTTTTAGCGTTCTCTAAATTTCAAATTTATTATAATTTGAAAAGTATTACTGTATTGTGATTGAAACATACATTCGTTTTTAAATAGTAATAATGGATATTTTATGCAGAAATAAAAAATTAGTGAATTGAATATTTAAAAAATCATATACGATACATTTTATATAGTTATTATTTAAACATTTAAAGCATTACGTAAAAATCGCAACAAAAAATATTTCCCATCGAAAAGGCAAATAATTAACAACTATTGCATTCTCGCGGTCACATTCTTGCGGCTATTTCTACCGCGCTCATTATCCTCGCTATGAGCATTCGCAACTTGCGGTTATAATTTTCATTTAGATCTCGCTGTTCTTCCGGCAAGGAAGATGATGTCACAATGGATGGCGCCTGTTAGGTCCCGCGAAATTACGGGAACATTTCTGGAAACGGAATGAGTAACAACGTCGTTGATCCGATCGTTCTCTTTGTGAATCATCGTCGTTCCGACAGCGGAACCGATGAAATCATAAAAGCGCCATAGATTGCTCTCACAAAAAATGTACTGTATAATCTTACTGCGTACTAACGAATGCTTACTTTTTTTTATTAAAATAAATTTTGCTCAATTTATTCAGAACAGGGAGCTTTTTTTTAATAAAACGACGGAATTTTTATCGGGTTCTCGCGATGTCTTGCTCGTGAGTCACGTCGGAGATTCGTTGGAAGGACTGGACGTGTCAAGAGTCGTCTCGCGATCTCGTTCGAGACTAATTATCACGGCTGGACGTGAATTAGGGACGTAAACCTAAACGACGTTGCCGCCACCGCGGCCATAAGAGCGCGAAGCCGACGTTGACACTATCGGCGCTCCCGATCTTTCCTACTTCTCTTCTCTCTTTACGCTCGCACGAGAGACGCATGTCGGCCTCTTCACGCTCGAACAAGCCAACGACGCTTGTTATCTCGCGCGCCGTTCGAGAGCGAACATCGTTTTAACCAATTTGCATCCGCAACTGCGTCTCTGCGAGTGAAGCAGAATGTATAAAGGAGCCGCAGTCATCATTTTGACATGTTATTTGATCAATAACCTCTTTTCATTGATAAAAAATAAAAAAGTTCGTCGCGAACATGTCAGTTGATTAAAATTTTTAATGATTGGAACGTAAAACACAATTATTAAAAAAATAGAAATTTAAAATTTTATATATAAATATTATTTTTTTATATATATGTATATTTGTATATTGTATGATTTGATAATTTGATAGAAAATTTTTTTTTGAAAAACGTTATTAATAAATTAATCAATCAGCAATATATAAACGTTAAAAAAAGTATAATGAATATTTAGAAACAGTCTTGAAAAATTTACGAGTTAAATAAATATAAATACAAAAATTTATAAATTTTTTTTGCAGAGAAAGAGAGAGAGAGAGAGAGAGAGAGGTGAATTATTATTTATAAAATTATAAATATAGCATTAATCGAAAACATTAAAAGAACATATAAATTTTTCATTTTAATGGTTCAGAAAAATCATTTTGTAAAAATCGTTGTTTCAACACTCTCACGTCATTTTTTCATCCTGCATTTCTCTCGAGCGACACTTCACACAATTAGCCAAAGCACTTGTCCTTTCGTGAGGTTAAAGTTTCTTCAGTAATCGTGAACTGTGACAAAATATTATGAAGAAAGCTGGAGCGACTCTGCAAACCGAGGTGAACACGGAGGAGGAATGGCAACAGTTACTGAGTCGCCCGGGCCTGATCGTTGTAGACGTGTACTCTGACTGGAGCGGACCTTGCACTGCCATGGTAAACACCCTTAAGAAGATCCAGATGGAAGTAGGCCTCGAGGCGGTGGACTACGCGATTGCGCGAAACGATGACATTGACGACTTGGCCAGGTTCCGAGGCCGAAGTGAACCCACCTGGATGTTTTTGCAGAACGGCAAGGTGGTGAATCTAATATTTGGTGCGGATTGTCCGTTCTTACGAAAGCTACTGATAAATGAAGTAAAGAGAGTGCAGCAATTAGAAACTCCGAAGTGGCGTTTGGATGTACATGAACGAGCACCCGAAGAGGACATCCGATGGCAGCAAGAAGAAGCCATTAGGTGAAAAAAATTGATTTTGTAGATTTTAAGAATAGAGATTGTCATGAATAAAATATCTGATAATATATCTAGATAAAAATAATGACAGTTAAGAGGAAGATTTAAAGTACGCGCTAAAGTCATCGTATTCAATTATAAAATTATCATTGTATTATAGTCGTTTTACGTTTTGCTATAAAATATCGCTGTATCTGATCATGCAATTTTTTCAATTGTCAAAATATTACAATACAAATTGAAAAAAATTGCGTGATCAGATACAGCAATATTTTGTATAGCAAATGTAAAACGACTATAATATAATGATAATTTCATAATTTAATACGATAACTTTATCGCGTATTTTATAAATCTTCCTCTTAACTCTTCTTATTTTTATTTTGTACATATTGTCGGACATTTTAAAGCAAATAAAGCGCAGTCTCGAAAAAAGAGAGTCACATATATTTACAAAAACCATCTCGATAAAAAGGCGAGCGCTGGAAGAAGAGAAACAAGCAAAGGAAGAAGCCGAGAGGCTGGAAAAATACGAGCGATTTATGGCGCAAATGATGGTCGAGTTGTGCGAGCATACGGCGCTGGTGCTTTATCCGTGGGTTTTTAAGGACGACCGTGGAAGACCTCTGACTAAGCAGCAGAGTCCACAGTATACAGAACTCGTGAAGGATCTCTTCAAACAATGCTACGACGTGCAGGAGGAAGCACGGATCCAACTAAACGAGGACATAATCGAGAAGATGTTCGTCGAGAGCGGCGTCGACATCACCGAGGAATTGATAAAAGGTGCGGTACCGGAAAGGCAAGTCCCAGGATCAGAAATAATCATGAGTTCTGACGTAATGACTGACAGATTGTCGTACGTCGCACAATCTATGATACTCACTCGCTATGTACAGTCACGGTTTCATATATCGTTATAAGTTTTGAAATTAAAAGTAGGGAAAGGGAAAAATAAATATGAAGAAAAATGAATATGAACGGGCTTCTTCAGGGCTAACCGACGGGAAATGCATGGCAATGAGGTTGAAAGGCAAACCACCCCATCCAGACTGGCCGGTTCGTTATCCTTATGAGAGTCCGGAACGTGATGCGGTGAACGTTCCGATCCGTGCCATCAATGATGTCGAGAATTATCTTATTAGTATCATCACGGATGGACCTCTTTTACAACCTGAAGCGGCTGAAGTACCGACTTATGATATGCCTTACATGCAGAGACACGTGTACGTGCACAAGCCGGATCCGGAAATTGAGGGTGATATCGACCGCGAGCATCCCGCGGTTTGGGTACCTCCTCAGGTATTTGGACAACGAAGCTGGAGAATGTTTGAAAATTAATTAACCAAATTAAGTGGAACTTCAAATTGAGCGGAACGTTAAATTAAATTAATTTAATGGAAAGATAAAGAAAATTCTACGATATAATAATTATTACGAATATTTCCTCTTATATGGTCCCAAACCATAATTGTTAATAACAGCATTTACAAAGAAGTATTATTTATTGAAAATTTATGACGAACGAGAGATCGTTACAAACATGGAATTTTATAGGCTAGAAGTAAAGTTCACGTCTTCAAGACTCTATTTCCGGCTTACATGGAGAAGAATCATCCTTACGAAGAGCCGACAGTTCCTCCGCCGTTGTGTGCTTTCAAATTCGAAGCATCGAAATTCAACATCGTGCGAGACGCGTACGAATTGAATTGTGATGCGATTGAATATTTCGGCGTCTTCGAGTTCGATCGGCCGCCTGAGGCGAGACGTATCACGTCTTTACCCGAGGATTTTGAAAAGGTGTATTATTTTTCTCCAATCATAATACAACTAGTTTGATAAAAAAAATTTAATCAGATTAAATACATATAATTTCTCTTCTATAATAATTTAACTTCAATAAACTTAAATGAAATATTAAATAAACTATATTTTTATCATAATTTAACGATGAAGAGGTATTTATGACGAATAAAAGTTATTTGTGAAAGGTGAAGTACAAAACTGGCAATGAGATATTTGTGGTGATAATTCGAAGAATCAACGAAGAAGCCTTCCTGGCTTTTGCCGGCATCGAGCCATTCTTCGTGACAGAAGTTGAGAAGGAGGTTGAAGGACTAATAACGGCATATTTCCCTGAAGGAGTAGAGGATGTGATGCCATTAACACCGCCGGAAGAACAAGAAGCACTTTATGAAGACGAGGGTGAGAAAGAAGAGGAGGAAGAGAATGATGAAGAAAAGGAATAAAATATAGATTATACTTTTTATTAATATATTAAATATCTAATAATTTAGCTATAATTTTCATCTTTTTAAGGATGTAATATCTTTTAAAATAAATAGTCGGTATAAATGGATTACTATTTAGTAAAAATAAATTAATAAAAATAATTTAATAGAAATAAAATTCTTTTTAAGGATTTTATCCACGTATAAAAAGAAATATAGATACTTATAAATGAAAATGTTTTTGATAATGAGTTGTAAGTACATAATATTCAAAATTTGAGAGAGATAGGATTGTAGGAAATTATTTCATATGGAATAACTTACGTTTTATAAGTTTACAACCTCTACGTGTTTTGGCAACGGTTGTCTGATTACTCGCTTGGCACTGTGTGTTTGCATAAATTTGGCGAAATATCAAGCCAATTCATAGAATTTATAAATGCAACTAATTTGTTTCCAATTTTAATACTAATAAACTGCGCCAAAATATTCACAAAAAAAATATGCGCGAGAAAAATCAGCAAAAATGCATTGTTGAAATTTTTATCTTTAAAACAGAAATATTAGCGTATTCTTTTTCATATTATAATTCAAGTCTTATGACAGTTTAATATTATTAACATATAAATTTAATGAAGTGTAATTTAATTTCTAATTCATTATTTCTTTTTAATTTAGTTTAAATTTTAATTAATTTTTAATATCCAATTTGATTTAGTATTATTTTAAATTATTATTTTTAATTTTTATTTAATTCTTAGAAAAATTTTATATTTATATATAATATACATATATTCTATTATAAGAACACTTACTAAGAAATATTTAAAAAATATATTTTTTAGTAAGAAACGGAATGATATTTATGATGAGAGGGATTCACGATCATTCGCTACTTTTTCTTTATATCCTTTGAAAGAAAAAAATATAGCTATTATTAGTTATAATTAGATACTCGTGAATCGAGAGTATCATGCTTTGCACAATGTTTGCGTGTAATCTTGCAAATTTATATAATTACATTAACAATGAATAATTGCCACTCTCTTTTTGTGACGGAATAATTCTCTTTGCAATTCATCACATCGGAAATATATCGTTTTATGTTCCTCGTCGATGTATTTGTGAATTTAGTTAGAGGCGTGCAAAAAGAATAGTATTCATTACATTAGAAGCCTGGGGGGGGGGGGGG